CAAAGACCCCAAGTACCTTACCCATTAGAAAGATAGCTTCCCCAATTATCACCTCTAATACCATTAACTCAGACATCTACCCTTCCCCACCTCTAATATCATTAACTCACAGACATTTACCTTCCTTCCACCCCCCCCCCCCCCGCATTCCCCTTCTGTTCTGAAATGTGATTTGTCCTTTTCATATGTGTTCATTTTTTTTTAATTGTATCCTTTGGTATATATGGTCGTGACTATTTTCTTCCACTATTTGATCTGAGGAAGTGGGTCTGGCCCACGAAACCTCATCATCTAATAAACCATCTTGTTAGTCTTTAAAGTGCTACATACTCCTGTATTTTATTGATCTCCTATTTTTTAGTAGAATTTAAATACATTTCTTTCTTTATTCTACCTAATGTCAAGTTATTTCATTTTAAGTTTTTATACAGTCAGAAAAACTAGGCCCGGCAGACTTCAGTTGCAAAATCCTTTGGCTAACTATTAAACATACCAGCTTTATAGGTTATTTCCATGTGACTGGTATGCAGGGGACCTAGGGGAGAAGTGCTCTGTACCTAGCTCTGTCACAAGTAGAGGCTGAGCAGAAAACCTTTTATTTAAAAAAAAAAAAAAAAGTCATTCACGGTTACATCTCAGTAGTCTGGCAGTAGGTAGTCACTGGGTGACGGAAAAAGTGAGTGAATCTATAGCTTTGCTAGTTAGAGCCTTCGCCTAGGATGCAGGCAACCCAGATTTGAACACCTGCTCCAATGACTGTTTATGAAAGTGGAACAGCTACACAAGGAGAGATTGGTACCAGCATATCCCAGGGCCTGGGAGACTCTCCTGCCGTGTGTGATACTACTGCTTTCTGCGCATCAGAGGGAGAGGAATTGATCCTCAGTCTCTTGCATCTTGGGTGAGAGCCCTAACTCCACTGGACTAGAGCTAAGGAAAGTTTCTTCTCTGGCCACTTTGAAGCCTTCCCTAAATCTAAACAATTGCTGATTAAAATGCTTTGACTTGAAATGTTTTTGTTTTCGTGATTTTTAGTTGAAAAATTTTAACAATCACTTTTGGTTTGACGACAAACAATTGTTTATTTGCCAAAATCCAGTTAAGCACCCACCAGCTGTGCGTGTGCCCCAGCTTGCCAAGGAATTGCTCTATTGAGCTGAGTAGCAGAGGGTGGATATAGTGGAGGATTGGTGTGAGAGGCAAGGTCTGTGCTGAAGCTGCAGAAATGGAGTAGTAGTAAAGCAGCAGCGAAGACTGCAACAGGGAGGGGTGGCTCCAGCCGTAACTGTAATAAGATGACAGAGGAGGAGCAGCAGCTTGGGTCACAACAGCATTGCTCATGTCCATCCTGGATACGCTGCCAGCTAATGTACTGGAAATGATAATGGATGCTCTTCCCCATCCCCGAAACCAAAGGGGGGTAGGTATCGGAAGATGCACTGGAGCTCATTGCCATAATCTGTAATAGCCTTTAGGACTTGCATTAGTCGTGCTCTAGCCTCTGTGTGTGTGTGTGTGGGGGGGGGGGGGGG